TCTTCCCTTAGTAGGAGGGGTCTCCGCTGTGCCAGGAGCACCGCCACGGGCAGAGCAAAACACGCAGAGGTGTTTCCCCAAAGCTAAGGCTTGGCCTTGCACGGGCATCTTGGCTTTCGTTGTGGTAAACCAGCCACCCGGCCAAAGCTGGCTGCCCTCATCGCTGCAGAGCTGGACCTAAAGATTCGCTGTGAGATGCCTCAGCAACGGGGCTAATCATCCAAATAAGAGAGAACCCCCAAACATTTTTGGGAAAAAACCCCACGTGTGCTTTGGGACTCAGTCTGCGGCATCTGAGCTGGGATCAGCAGGATTTCGGGGGGGTTTTAGCTGGGCTCCAACTGAGACGCAACACACACGTGCCCTTTTCTTAGGAGAGCTCAGGGTTTGTCCTCCCTGGCTTTCACTGTTATCAAATGCCTGCCTAACGAGATTTATTAAATCAACTAACTTCTGTATAATAACGACAGGAATGCAGATTTCCTCTGCTCAGCCGGGGCTTGCTGCGACTGGGCAGAGCAATTAGAGGTGACTCATGGGCGGGTGGACTCGGCCAGGATCCCGAGAGGGCTGGCCCTGTCCCCGGGATGCAGGGGGCAAGACTGGCTTCATGGTGATGCCAAGAAAGAGGGTGTTTATCTGTATATAATGATTTTTTTTGCTGTAACTCGATTAGCATGGAAGGTGTTTTTCCTTTGGAGGAGTTGCAAGGTAACGTCTTGTTATGTAAAGGATCCAAACAGCAAAGGGCTGTTGCTAATTGGCAAAAATATTTAAGTTTCCCAGCTGGAGCTGGTTGAGTTTGCTGATGCCGTTGTCTGCAGCTCAGCTGCCCACCAGCATGGAGGCTGGGGAAGGACCCCGGCTCCTGGAGTGGGTGGCTGTCGGTGAGCCCCGGTGCTGGAGGATGCTCTTCCAGGGAGTGAAGGTCAGGAGCAAGTTAACACCCAGAAGGTATTTCCTAGGTGTGGGCAAAGTGTTTGGTTTGGCTTGTCTCGTAACTCCCTTCCAATGGCAGGAACAAATATTTCCTTAGTGTAATGACTGGAATGATGAAAATTCACTGTCTCAGCCTTAAATGATGAGCAGCTTCCTGGTCTGTGTCCCCAGCTTGCCCCACAGATAAGGGCTGTAATGCTCTTTGATTAAGATAACAGGGAGCCAGACCTGTCCCTGCTCTTGACAAATTTTAATCCTATGATCCAGTTCCTGGGCTGACGTGGTTTTACGCAGCAGCAGAGAGGGATGCTTGTTAGATCGGGGTACTGTAACTGCATGTCTTTAACTTTAAGCCTCTCTTAACTGCTAATGGTGAAAGAAACAGTCTCCAAGCCCACCACAAAGCCCAGTTCCACCTGGGGCGGGTGGGTGAAGGGTGGGAAGATCTGGCCTTTAACCCTGAGGAGTTTTCTGGGTGCACAGCTGTGTACTCTGCTGCAGCTTCACCGCTTTTGCAGTCAGACCCAGAGCTGGGGAACTTGGCTAAAGTGTTTCTCGTCTACGTAGCCTTTTCAGTGGGATGAGACATGAGAACAAAAGCACTGAGACTTCGGGTTTACAGTGTCAGGCTTCAAATGCAAACAGCTGAATGGGGAGGAGGTTTCGTGGGGGCAGAGTGAGCCCTGCAGCGGCACCAGGAGCAGCTCCGAGCCAAGTGCTTGGGCAAATTTGATACCTCTATCTCCAGAGCTGTAGGCAGTGCTCTGATCTCTCACATCACTCCTTAGAGCCACACTGCTAATCCTTTGTACCTGTGCGAACACGAGAGGAGAATCTCTCTGTTGTTTTCTTGCTGTGGCCAGACCTTCCTTCCCTTCCTCCTGCACAGCGCAGGCTTGGGGACACAGCCCGGACCTCGAGTTCCTGGGGGAGCTTGGGGCCACAGGCACCGGCCACTGGCTCCGCTCTGCCAAAGAGGTTTTTGGTGATTTACAGCTTATTGTGCTGAGCGAGTTGGCAGAGATGCTCTGAGCTGGCAGAGAAGGAGGGAGATCGTCATGTGGAACAAAGTGCTGTCTCCTGGCAAAGACAAGGAGAAGGTCTATTCTGCGGGCTTACCCGCCGAGTGCAAGACAGTGCTTAAAAGTCATCCTGCGGAACAGGAATGGGTAATCTGGTCAAACGGTGTTAGCTGTATGAGTTTCCAGTAGGTGTTGTTGCTCTAAGCGCTGTCTCTGAATGCTCTCTCCATGAAGGAACGGTCCTCAAAGTAGATATTTAAATAATGTCAAAGCCCTTGACCTCGAAGTGTGTGGGGGCGAGGGGAGGGCATGAGTCACAAAGAAGATAGCACCGCTTTCCTTTTGCTCAACCTTTCACATTCTTCACCCTTTAAATAAAAACAAGTATTAATAAACACAACAGACCCTAAAAAACCCCCTTAGAGTCAGGTGCCAAGGGGAACGAGGTCCTCAAAGGAGAATGTGCAAAAAAACTTGGTCATGAAAAGAAAACAGCCACAATGTTGAACTGAGGGGTAGTGATTCAAACAGCAGTCTTGGCCCTTTGAACACCACTGACGTTAATGAAGCTCTGAAATCACTAGTCCTGCATGCCGTGTGTTTTCCCTTGGTGTCTTGGCCACCTCTGTTTACTTTTTGTTGCCACTGAGGGTTGCCTTTTTGTGGCTACGCTGCTATTGTTTAATTACAGTTCTGACTATTCACATTAGATGTCAAGTGTCTTAAGTGAACGAGAGCTTTCCAACCACCACCCCAACCATTTGCTTCTGTTTTCTGAAGCCTGTAGAACAGCTTCTGCCTCGCCTTACGCAGGTATGAACCCAGAGTAACCCTGCTGAAGTACACAGAATTATTTCCTATTTCACAGCGCAAGTAGGATCAAACGGGAGCTCCAGGGACAGCAGTTTATCTTCCTAGAGTAAGCACTTGTTTTTCTAATATGATTGCAAGTTAATTCCAGTGATAATGTGATACCATGTAATTGAAAGTCCCCTGAGCTGGTACCAGAGCTTATTTTTGCCAAGCCCTCTGCAGACCAGTGTTATTGCACCACCAGTGACGAAGATTTAGGGAGTCCTTGCTTGCTTTGAAGGTTTGTGTCCTATGCCCCTGTGCTGCTGAAGGTCTCTCTCTCTCATCCCAGAAAATCAGTGCAATAATAATTTTTCTTTCCTTCTCCCACCTTCCCACATTCCTATGTCGCTTGATATTAGATGGGCCAAAGGCTATGTGTGCTGCAGTTGTCCCAAGGTTGATTGGATCTCGGCAGGCTAAAGAGAGAAAAAAGCTGTGGAGAGGGTGCTGCAGCCCTTCTCCCATCTGGGATGCTAATTGGAGTATTTCCTCAGTCCAGCCATAGATTTTTCATGGAATTTGTAAGCAGGTACTTGTCTCTGAGTCCCTCTAACCTATTGTTGGACAGGACTGAAGCAGGCCAGCAGCTTCCCATCTTATTCATGCCAAGCTGGGGGTTTAAAACCTTAGGAGCTACTAGCATACAAAATTTGCCCCTCGGAGTTCCCCTGAAACACCCTTTTGAGCGAGACAGGGAAGGGCAGTGAAGCCTGCAGGCGGCTGCGAGGGCAGTCGGGGGGTGCCTGGGGGTCGGTGCCGCCTGGGGCTCCGGGAGCCTGCAGGACACAGGTGCTGATGGAGGGGGGCTGTGCGCTGGCCAGGGGACCTGTCGGTGCCTGGGGTAACTCTTCCCAACCTGGCCGTGCTCTCTAGACGCTGTGGCAAACAAAGTGAGAAGGATGCTAGCAAGAGTTGCAGTGTAAACCCTATTTCTGCAAGGCTCAAAGACAGCTGATCAGAAGAAATCTGTTTATTGTGAGATTTAGGAAAACAATTTTTATGCAAATTGCTTTTTTTTTGGCAAGTAATGGGTTGATACAGAACTTGGAATTACAGTTTTAAGAATACAAATACACAGTATCTTGTTCAGCAAACACAAAACAAACTTCTTCCCCAGGGAACATTAAATGAGCAAATATTTGCTAAAATAAATGGGCAACAACCACGGGACGGGACGGGGACACACAAAACAAAACAACCCAACTCGGAAGCCAAAACCCCACTGAAGAAGCAGCAGTCACATCTTCAATTCTACGCTCAGGCTGTACTTTCACTTTGCTTTTCCTGTTCGATAGCTGCCAGAAAACCAGAGGAAACAAAAACATCATCAATAAACATTACAATAATTCTGCAGGATGCAGGTTTCTACGGTCATTCTTAAAGCCAGGCAGTGGTAAGTCCCCACTTGCCTTCTCTGGCCACCCTGGAAATGCCAACCCGTTCCCACATCTGTGTAGCTAGTGGGGTGCAGTTCATGATGTGCGAACCTCCTCTCGTATTTACAGCTTTAGCATCGGTAAAGGGATAAAAAGCCAGGGAAAAACCAGGTATCTTATGTCGAGGGACAGTGCGTCTCCATGGCTATCAGTACTGACAGATCCAAGGTGGTTAGTGATACTCTTCTGAAGGAAACCACTCACAATGTCTGGTCCAAATGCAGAGAAACGCCATTTTCACAGCCAAAGCTGAACGTGAATCACAACCCTCATCTGGCTGCCTGCGCACCACGCGTGTACGGCAGGAGACACTGCACGAGAAAAGCCCAGGGGTGCTTTGCTAAGGAAGACTGCCTGCTAGATGAGGAGGATGATGGGTTTCTCTTGCTGCCTTATTCCCAGAGAAGGTGCCTGGAGCTCTCCTGGCCAGGGCTGACAGCAGGTACCAGCGGCAGACAGCAGCTCATCTGCCTGATAACATGTTAAATCCGGAGCCCAGGCACCTTCTGGGGATGCTGCCTGGCCTGCCAGGGACGTGCGTCGGTGCCTCCGAAGAGGCTGGTACCGTGGGAATTACAAACAGTTTGATCCTGTTGCCTGCAACCAGCAGAAAAAACTGGTCTTGCTTTTAGCGGAAACAAGAGCAATCTCATCAGAAAGGATTTTTCAGGCAAAATGCACCGTCAGTTATAACTACTGGTATCCTTGGAAGCCCAGCGTAGAGTACAAGTCTTACTATTATCCCCAGTTAAAGTCAGGGATGAGTTTGAGCCTGTAATCCTACGATTAGTATTCATTTTGCATATGAACTGCAATACAGATTGTGTCCTTGCTACTCGTAGTTCAAACAGCCTCATAAGCACTTACTTTCTTTAGTGGGCAATGGATTTTTCTCTCTGGTTTCTGTCTTCTTCAGCTTGGTCTTGTCAAATGTTTCAATTTCTGCAAAATCTGGTTTGTCGGACATGATGGGTCCTGACAAAGAAAGGAAAAACACACCCGTGGCTTCATTAGCTAGTGCTGTGATATCAGCCATCTGCAAAGCATTTTCTGCTCGAAAGAAAAAATATCAAAATACTATAAAAATGTTTATTCAAAAAACCCCCACAAATCGAACACCTCAATCTGGGACCTCTCCCTGAGGCTTGGCTCTTTCAGAGCAAAAGAGGAAAGGCATAAATAGAATTTTATCTAGATTTCTCAGACAAAATTTCTAAAAATCATATTTTGCACATGGAAACAAGTATATCTCAGTAAAGAAAAAACAATGCATTAATTGCCAATAACCCACGGTGCCTCCTGGCGCAAACCTCTATTTTTAGGAATGCTACTAACCCAAAAGTCTACAATAAACCCCAAATCCAATATGAACAAAGAGCTTCAGTTATGATTTTGTCTTAATTAACAGGATTTGTCTTTAATTCTGAGCACCCTGTCCTGAGTGCGTACATACCCCCGTATCTGGATGAGCTGCTGTGGACACTTGTGCTTAACAATAGAGGACCGGTTCACCCAGCCCTTTGTTTGCTCTCGCACTCAATATCCCAGTCGCAGGCTCAATGGGTTTGATTATACCCTATTATAAGAGAAATCCACAAAGCACGCTGGCATTCAACACTTCACCTGTCAAAACTTCCCTAATCCAATTACTGTTTTTAATAGAAATTCAAGTTAAAATCCAGCCTGGCCGTTATTCCCTTGATTTCAGTGGAGTTTCCCATCAAGGCGAGGTTTGGCCCGGAGATGGCTGATACAATTACACTTTTTCCTTCCCGAAGACTTCATTGCTATCTGCACCGAGACAACAGAAGTAAATATTCACAGGAAAAAAAAATAAAATGAAAAGCTACTAAAACCACATGGCATTACCGTCTGGCTGCTCTCTCCTCAGCTGCTTGGTGGCCGTCTGAGGCAGTGTGAGTTGAAAAAGGTCAGGGTAATCCCTCCTCTCCTCTCTTCTCCTCTCCTCTCCTCCCCCCGCCCGAGCCCATCGCTATTAATATTGATTAGTTTAGTGCTGGGATTGCTCGGCGTTTAGGGAAAGGACAGATTGCTGCTGCAGAAAGCGCACAAGGGAGGGAAATAGGAAAACTGAGATGGAAGACTACCAAAATTCGATTTTTTTTTTTTTTTCCCCTTTTTTCTCTTCTTCTCATTTACCAGAACAATAATGTTTAAGTTTCCCTTCCTGCCCTTCTTTTCCAGCGCTGAGGTTCAGAGTTAATGTGAGGTCTGGAGTTCATTTAAGAGCTGGTGGGGAGATTTTAGGTGCATTCAGCAAAGCGCCTGGGGATCGTCCCCCTCCCGCCCGAGCTGGCAGAAGCACATGCTCGGGGCTCGGGAGGACTCTAAGCACAGTCGTGGTACGATTGCTGCAATCGAGGGCCAAGTCTGAGATAAGCACGGCCTGAGCACCGCGCTGGCATCCGGGAATGTGTCCTGAAAGGAAGAACAATGAATCTTTCATTCGCTCCCATTTTGGTAGCTACAAACCCTCCTGCTGGTGCCTCCCCAGCCCGACGGCGCGTGGCTCTGCAAGCCGGACCGGGCAGCTGCCCGCGGCCGACCTTCCTGCCTTCCCTTGGGAAGAACCTGCGTTCGCCCGTCCTGCTTGCGTGGCCGCTCCCTGTACTCCACCCATCCCGGTGGCGTGGACCACGCTGGACTCGCTCGCAGGGAACCTCTTCAGTTGCAGCGAAGGGAGAATGCGCTGTAGGTGCCGAGTGATGTCATTTCAGAAAAACCTTTAAAAGGGAAGCGGTTGAGTCACCGTCCCTGGAGGTATTTAAAAGACGTGTAGATGTGGTGCTTAGGGATGTGGTTTAGTGGTGGACTTGGCAGTGCTAGGTTAAGGTTGGACTTGATGATCTTAAAGGTATTTTCCAACCTAAATGATTCTGTGATTCTATGAAAATGGCTAATAGCTCTTGCATTTATTTGCAAGACGTGTTTTGCATTAGATGAGAAACTGCATGGAGACAAGATTGTGCAGTGTGTGAACACTACCTGCACCAACCTCCTAGAGCCACCGCTCTCGAGGGCTGTGAACACCCCTGTGGCTGTGACGTGGCTCCAGCTACACCTCCCGCTTTGCAGCACAAAACTACTCGGGAAATCCTTTTTCAGAGCCCTCGGGTTTGGGAGGGAAGGGCTGTGTGCATCCGAGATGCTGGCATGGGTTTCCTCTTGTGTAACTTTGGATGTCTCCATCTGAATTACTTGTCTAGACTCCATGATAGTCAATAGGGAGGCAACTAACTTGGGATAAAATTAATTGTGCCCTAGGAGTATCCGGGTTTCTCTATTGACTATAGAGGGAGCCTGGGCAATGAGCTCAGAGAGACAGAGATGTCTCACAGCTGATTGAGAGCCCCGGGAAGGTGCTGTGATCTTTCTCTTGGCATACTAGGCTTGGGTAGAGTGGCTTTGAATCTGATGTGTTAGTGGAGAAAATGGTTTTAATGTGTTTAAATATGTTTTAAGGACTTCTTCTTCCAATGTGTGTTTAATTAAAATAATGAACATAACGCAGAAAAAATTATTATTTTTACTCATCAACATTCACAAATAGTGGTTCCTTTCCACCCAGTGATTCTTTCCTCTATCCATCCTGTTTTCCGTATCTTCAGAGAATGCAGGGCTTGCTGCATGCCCTGTAAACAGCAGTCTAAGAGCAGGTTTCCTCTGTGGCCATGTCTGCAGTATTTGAGGTAAAGGAGAATGGAGTACCGTAGTGGTGGAAAAACCTACATAATGCTGCTCAGCTGGAGCTCCGAAGGGATGGTCTGGATCCCACTGAGCTCAGCCCTGTGCAAACCTGGCTGTGCTGCTTCTGGACCTAAAATTGTCCTGGCGCTAATGTAGCTACATTTTTGGTATGCTAAAAGCTCAGTTGACTTGTGCAGACTGGCTTGGTTACGTCTGCATCTGCACTGACTGTCCATGCATGCAAAATCAATGTGTGTGTGTACCAGTCATATTTAGCATCAGGACTCGGTTCCCTTGCTTCCATGCCCTTACTCCAACCAATTGTCAAAAATAGAAAGCTGTGTTCTTGACCGAAACCCCCTGGGAGTAAGCAGGAAGGCGGCCGCTGGGTGAATATTCAGTGTAAGCCACAGCTGAGATTTGGCACTGAAAAGTCTCAGTGTCTGTTTAAAGAGAGAGCATTAGCCTCTTCTTGTTAGGCTGGACACCAGATTTAGAAGATCGAAAAAGACTTTAAAATGCAACCTGAATGATTCATGAATTCAGGCAGTTCATGAGTTTCAGTTTTTAAAATATTTGTCCATTTTTACAAGTAACAGAATTCTTATCTGACAAGAGATTATAAAGGGGAAAAACTAAACTTTTAGACTGGTGCAAATTCTCTCAGATGTAGAGAGCAAACAAAGTGTTCAGGACAGCGAAGCAGAAGAATCTCGCTTCTGGTTCTGAATGATTCATGAATTCAGGCAGTTCATGAGTTTCAGTTTTTAAAATATTTGTCCATTTTTACAAGTAACAGAATTCTTATCTGACAAGAGATTATAAAGGGGAAAAACTAAACTTTTAGACTGGTGCAAATTCTCTCAGATGTAGAGAGCAAACAAAGTGTTCAGGACAGCGAAGCAGAAGAATCTCGCTTCTGGTTTTCTGTGTACAGTCACGGGCTTGGCCCCTAGCATCCACAGCTGAGCTCAGACTTCCTTAAACATGCTAAGACAGGGTGGGCACGCTTGTTTTTTCACCACCACCATTTTACTTGCCCAATTTATTGGCAGACCTAGTATTAAAAACAGTTTGGGGGGAGTTGTTCAGGTTTTTAGGCTAAAGATGACCAGGCTTTTAATTGATATTGGGTTGGGTTTCTGAGGAAGGTGCAACAGTGTTAGTCCGTAACATAATGATGAGAAATTACATGTTCTCACTCTCAGTTGAAATCAGTAGATACTCAGCTCCATAACGAACATCTTGACCATTGCATAAAGTGCCTGACAAGTTTCTGCAGCTTGTAAGTACGGTACTGCGGTGAAACACAGCTCATGTTGGATACAAGCCCCATGTTTACATACTCTGTGCAGGACAGACAGCCGTATGTAGTTTTCATATGGGAAGTTTGGAGTTCAGCCTGAGGGCATTGCACAGTGCGTTGAGGCTGGTCACGGGAGGGAACGATGGGGAGGTAATACTTTACTCAGATGCCTTTTACTTTCACTGGGAACAGGGATATTCTTGCTATATAAGCAGCAAAGCAGTTACTTGACAGGTTTTTAATGGCAGGATTTCAGAGTCACCATCTTCAGTAAAGGGAACATGGCATTTGCCTGGCCTTGGGATGACTGTGGTAGCAATGAACCATAATGGTCTTTGAGGTGCACAGAGGCAGCTGAATGATCCAGCATACAGAAGTGAGAAAAACCAGCAAACTATAGGATCTTTGCATGTCCTATACACACAAAGCACGTAAAGCCATATTGGTACGGCCATGTCTGAAAAGCTGCCTCAGATACAATGGAAATTGCATTTTATTTCTGCTGCCAAAGGATGAAGGGCTGAGTCAAACCTGCCAGGACTGACACCTCTGATACCAGTGAGTCACCCGCCACTGACAGCATTAAACTGTGCCAGGCAGCCAGCGAGTGTCTGTCAGACACCCACAGAGAAACAGGGGAAAACAAATACTTGCTACCACGATGCAGTAATAGGTGAGAGGAAATGTTTAAAGGGAGCTCAAGGGCAAAGAAAAATTCGGAAGGGGGGTCTGAAGAGTGAGGCTGGGAGGTTTGAAGCGTGAGTCACCCGCCACTGACAGCATTAAACTGTGCCAGGCAGCCAGCGAGTGTCTGTCAGACACCCACAGAGAAACAGGGGAAAACAAATACTTGCTACCACGATGCAGTAATAGGTGAGAGGAAATGTTTAAAGGGAGCTCAAGGGCAAAGAAAAATTCGGAAGGGGGGTCTGAAGAGTGAGGCTGGGAGGTTTGAAGCCTGGTGGGGCTGGGGCTGCAGGGACATACGTATATATATATATATGTATATATAAAGGACTATAGCGTTTCACGGGCTGGGGGGATGCTGTGCTCATGTTTGGCACAAGAGGGAAATGGCACGTTTCATGAAGACTAGGTGGGCAACTGCAAGAAGAAAGGGTTTCTTTCTCTTTGGTGCAACAGTGGGAATCAGATCGCCTCTATTTCTATGCGGAGCTGAGGAGGGACAAAGCACCCTAACGCGAGCAGCCGGTTAGAGGAACAGACGCTCGAGCAGATCAGTGTCTGTAGCTGAGCCAATAAGCTGACACAACTGATTTTATAATCACATTAGCGCTGTCTCGAAATAACACACCCACTCAAATATAACAGTGATTTCATTTTCAAAATGTTGTGGTATTTTTGGTGCTAAAGGTAGGGGATTAATTTTTCAAGGTCAAAAGCTGGGCTGGAATCTGCAAGCACCCTAATTCCTTTAGGTCCCTATGAGCGTTGAGCACCTTCCAGAAAGGTAGCAGGATTGGGCGTGTTATAAGCTATCCTTAGAAGGTTTCCCGTCCTCAGGGGAACAGAAAAAAAAGACCACAGCTTCACTGAAAGGGTTTTCTTAGTTCTCTTTGTGCCTTTTGTTCCGTCTTGCTGCCAAAAAAAATATCCATGTTTGGGAACAGAGACAGGTTCCCAGGCTAAGAGACAATGAATCCTGGGGGTGTAAGGAAGGCAATGATCTCTCTTTGGCAGGGTGTCTGCTGTAATGCTGCACTGCTAGTGTGGAAATACTCGATTCTTGTCTTCTACTGTATGTTTTATCATCACCTAAAGTGTTTCATTTTCCTTATTGAGACCACTAAGCCTTAAGGGTAGGTGCGTATAGAGGATGAGGGGAGAGGAGAGGCTAGTTGTAGATAGTCCTTCTGCTTGGA